CATTTTAATCTTCATTTCTAAATCCTTTAACACCATTGTATATTAATTTGAATTATTAACTAAGGTCCTGGGCATTGACAATACAATGCATTTTTAAAATGAAATTCGACATAGAAAATTAATGGTAATAAGAGATCTAAGAAATGGTCTTTTACCTTCTGTATGATATAGGATATGAACTAGTTAATGATCAGAATATATTGATAGTGCAAGCTCTTGTGAGCTCTGTTTTCATATTGTTGATACCAGTAAGTTGGAAAGAGATGTACTTTATTTTGTTCTCTCTATATGATCCTGTCGTTTGTTTAGTCTGTACTCATTGAAGGTTAGGAAACACCAGGAGGAGGTAGTAAAAGAAATCTTAAGCCAAGCTCTCTTGGTAGTATAATACATATATACCACAACCCAAGGTGTTTACTAGGTTTTTTTTGAAATCTCATTGAAATACTGAATGGGAAGACTTTGGGATTCGACTAGAGAATTCTAAGATGAAAAGCGTATAAATATATTTTTTAAGTCTGCATTAGGGTATGAAATTTATACGTATGTATCCAGTAAAAAAAAGAAAAAACAAATGCCATTCCAATTTTTAGGCTTCTTGAATGCTAGCTAAATTATAAGAATATTCCTCCGTTTGAAGTAGTATAAATTATGTCTTTTCCTTTAGGAAATGGCAGCAGTGTCAGCTTTTCTTCAACCAGGAGCACCTAGGCCATACCCAGCTCATTACATGGATACAGCAATTCAGACATATAGGGATATCTGCAAGTAGGTGACTATAATATTTATATTCTATCCATTTAGAGGGTAATTTGACATTTATGTTGTTAATAGATATAAATAGTTCTTTATTTTTCATGCCTAAACTCCCACATCAAGTAAATATAGTCAGAGACAAGTTGAGGTGATTTTTTTTTTTTTAATAGTGTTTTATATTACATCCTCTTTTTCTTTTCTGTTTTGTTTGGATTAGTGGTTAGGAATTTGTTATGTATAATGTTGAAGTTATGTGTTACATTGAGGGTTATTTGTATTATGGGGACATTTCTGACCATAACTACTGTCAAGCTGGGAAATAGCCATTTTGAATTTTCCTTGTTAAATAGGCAAAACACGAAGAGTTAAATAATAGTCCAGGGGAAAAATGGGAAGTGTTTAGTATTTATGGTGAGGTCTATTGGAACTCTATAGCATAGGAGTTAGAACTCACCACCTATAAGGAGACAATGAACAGGTCCCAAAGTGGTCAGGGGAGATTACATGGGATGTTTGACGAATAGACCTTTAAAGAAAGGCGTTTGAGATTTGATAACCATGGAGGTGTTTCAGAAATAGTGATTGGCAGGAATAATGTTTCAGATGTAGCATTACTGGTCACAGGGAATAGAGCCCTGGCTAGGTAGGAGGGTTTGCGTATATGGAAAGTACTGGGTGATGTATTTGAAAAGAGGGTTTGAGATACATTCATGTGAAGAACCTTAACAGTCATATTTTATTGTTATTGTTAAGCTGTACTTAAGAAAAGCTGGTGAGGTGGTATGCATGTGTTGTCCCAAGATGAGGCAGGAGGATCCCTTGAGCCCAAGAGTTTCAATCCAGACTGGCCATGTCTCTTTAAAAAATAAAACAAAGAAGCTGTAGTTAAGATTCTTAAGTAGTAGTAAAGGGGAATTACTCAGCATTTAAGTAGTGCCTTGACATAATAAAAGTTATTTTTCTGAAAGGTTAATCTGACTTTTCTATTGTAGAATAGGTGCATTGGAAGACAAAGGTAGAGGCAATTTTGACCCCTATAATGTTGAATTAGAAGTTGTAGTCATAATAGCAATGTTTACAACAACATTATTAATAAAATTCTAATTATTAATAACATTTATTGAGTGTTTAGCATTTGCCACTACACCTTGAGTAATTTTTACACTCATTTAATCTTCACAACAAACCTGTGAAATGGTGTATTTTTGTACAATAATTATACCATATATTCAGCATATTTTTGTACAATATAGAACTGTATGTATATTCAGTATATATAGTAGTTAAAATATAAGCTAGTTAAAACATCATGTTGCAGAGCTATACAGGATTTTGTCACATACATATTATATATTTTTATTCTGCTTATTCAATAAATTTTGGAGCAGACACTGTGCTGGGTGCTGAGGATACAGACATATTCCAAAACAGATATGGTTCATATTATCATGAAACTTACAGTCTGTCAGATTAAAGGCTTTAATCGCATTTCAGTTTTTAGATAATTAAATTACTTTTTTTCCTGTTTTGGAAAATGTTGCAAAGAAATACATTTATTTGTCCTAGAAGTAGATTATGAAATTG